GTACTAAAGGCAATGCCTATACTAGCCATAGTTGAATCAACATTAAGAAATACACACAGTTTTAATAATATGAATGATAATTTTGGATTCAAAGTATTTATCAATTTTGGGAAAAACACCTATTTTTCATCTTTAGAACCTAGCCTTTCAAATCTCCATTAACAACTCAGTGGCAAATATAAAACATCTGCCAAAATACAGACGACAGCATGAGCAAATGTCCTAATAGTAGACATTTCGTTTAATGCTTTAACACACTGCCTTTACTACTTTTTGCATACTACTGAAAATGTTGATGTGCTTTTAATCAAAGTATAATTGGATGTATGGGGTATAGTGGAGGGAAGGAACATAATAATTCATTCTGCATCTTGTAAACCAATACAGGGGGTTAGAGTTTGACTGTAATTAGATGGAATGGACATTCTAGATAACTTATTTTACTGCCAAGTTCAACTGAAACTGTAGTGGCTACCAGTAAATGGCATTTGACTACCAGTCATTTGTAAATGAATCTGAAAGTGTTGTGTAGGAAATTAAATGAGTGGCTGGGGCGGGGCCTGCCCTGGGGTCCTGAACAAGTGTTGGACCAACTTTTCCTTCAGACCTCCTCTCTAAGGGCAGCCCATCAGCCTGACAGTTGGCAGGTTTGGACCTTCCTGTATTGAGCCCAAGCTCAGAGGAACAGGACATGACCTCAATGCCAATGTGACCTTCCTAAAACTCTGGACGAATTATAATAATATTTGCATTTTAGTTTTGACCCCACCCCCTGTGGGTTTTTTTGTATACATTATGGGTAAGGGCATGCCCAGAAGAAAGATAGTTTCAGTCAATCATCCCTGAATGCAAATGAAAGGCTCCACACATACAATCCCTCTTTAGAACCCAGGAGCTGTGGGCCATGCTCTCTCTAGCTTGCACTCCACCTCCAGGGAGCAATCCCATGACATTCTCTTCCCCTTGCTTTCCCCACAGGCACATAGCCCCTAACCTCTAAAGGACCCCATGACACTTGCATCCAGGGGAGAAATGGGCAGCTGCAGCTCAACCTGGTCTTACCCCCAGAACCTGTCTCCAAGACTCCTTTCCTCTGACTTCCCTGTGAGCTACAGCAGCCCTGCTATTGGCTGCTCTCACCATTTTGTCTCCCGCACTCTGTTGACTGACGGGTGCCTCATTTGGAATGTATTTTCAATAAACCCCATTTTGCTTTACTTTTATTTTCTGTTCACCTTAAACTCTTTTCTGCATCGACAAAAAGAACCAAAGTCCTAGGCAATAACCCCAACTGGTAAGAAAATCAAAATCAAAGTTTGAGTACAAATGAACGAAAAAGACCATGGACTGTCTTCCTCCTTCTATAGTCTAAACTCAGTCTCTCAAATACCTTGATTTATAACTTCTTGTGCTCTAACACTGTTAGCATCTCTTCACAGGTGCCCTTTTATAACTAAATATTAAATACACAGAAATTCATTGGTTTTTATACAACAACTAGAGGCCTAGTGCATGAATTAATGTACCAGTAGGGTCCCTCCCCTGGCCTTTGGGATTAGGCCTAACCAGATCTCTGACATTCCCTGAGGGGTTCTGGAATTCAAGAGTGCACAGGCCTGGTTGAGGGTCGCCACCAATGCACGATCAGGGCCCAGGGAGGAAGGAACATGGGAGGTTGGCGAGCTTGGGAGGGACCATGGGAAGACTCCAGGGTGTGTCTGGCCTGTTTCGTACAGTATAGATCTGCTGGATCTCAGCCGCAAGTGAACCTACTGGTCAGAGCACACAGTCCCCTGTTGGTCAGTGCACATCAAGTGACTGGTCAACCCATTGACTGTCAGCCCCCTGACCCACTGGTGGTCAGTGCATTTCATAGTGAGCAGTTGAGTGGCCTTAGCATATCATTAGCATATTATGCTTTGATTGGTTGAATGGATAACCGGACGACAGGACACTTAGTATATTACACTTTTATTATATACTAGAGGCCCAGTGCATGAAATTCATTCACTGGGTGGGGGGCGGGGAGTGGGCGGTGGATCAGGCCTAAAGCAGCAGTCAGCCATCCCTCTCACAATCTGGGACTTCTAGCTCCCAACCTCTCACCTGCCTGCCTGCCTAATTGCCCCTAACTGCTTCTGCCTATCAGCCTGATTGTTCCCTAACCACTCCCCTGCCAGCCTGATTGCCCCCAACTGCCCTCCCCTGCAGGCCTGCCCCCCAACTGCCCTCCTTCCCCTGCAGGCCCAGTTGCTCCTAACTGCCCTCCCCTGCAGGCCTGGTTGCCCCCAACTGCCCTCCCCGGCTGGCCTGATCACCCCCAACTGCCCTCCCCTGCCGGCCATCTTGTGGTTTTTGGTGCTGCCATCTTTGCGGGCATGGCAGTCAATTAGCATATCCTCTCATTGGCTGTGGGCAACACCATCTTTGAGGGTAGGGCAGTTAATTAGCATATCCTCTCCTTATTGGCTATGGGCACCGCCATCTTTGTGATAGTGTGAGGGCCAATTAGCAAATTCTCTATTAGATAGGATTAGAAGCCTGGTGCATGACATTTGAGCACAGTGGGGGACGGGGGGTGTTTCCCTCAGCCCAGCCTGCACCGTGTCCAATCTGGGACCCCTTGGGGATGTCCAACTGCCAGTTTAGGCCCGATCCCTACAGACATCCAGCAGTCGAACATCCCTTTCACAATTTGGGACTGCTGGCTCCTAACCGCCTCTGCCTGCCTGCCTGATTGCCCCTAACAACTTCTGCCTGTTTGCCTGATTGTCCCTAACCGCCTCTGCCTGCTGGCCTGATCACCCCCTAACTGCTCCCCTGTCGGCCTGATCCCCCCTAACTGCTTGCTCCCCTGCCGACCTGATCGACCCTAACCACTTCTGCTATGGCCCCCGCCACTGTGGCTTTGTTCAGAAGAACTTGGACATCTGGAATAAGTCCAGTCAACCTGGTCTAATTAGCATATTACTCTTTTTTTAGTATAGACAGAGGCCCAGTGCACAACATCCGTGCAAGGACTTGGCCTTCACAGCTACAGCTTCATCTGGAAGGTTGTCTGGTCTAATTAGCATATTATAATTTTATTATTAGAGAATTAACATAGTTCAAGTGCGTCAGGCCTCTATTTTGTTTTTCTTTTTTAGGTTATTAACTTAGTACACTAAAACACCATTAATTCTGATTTCTATGACACTATAGGGACTTGAGCACATTGGTATTATATGTAAACTAGAGGCCCAATGCACGAGTAGGCCTTTCTTTCCCTGGCTGCTGGCACTGGCTTCCTCTGGCACCCGGGACCTGGGCTTTCCTCCAGCACCTGGGACTTAGGCTTCTCTCGCAGCCTCAACTTATCTAGAAGGTCTTCTGGAAGAAAGTCCGGAAGGATGTTCGCTCTAATTAGCATATTATACTTTTATTACACTTTTATTATTATAGATGAGTGCTTATTATACATGATTTTAACTATTACTAACAGAAATGCTATACCCAAAATAAACACTCTAACAGTTTTCTTCTAATCTACATGAAAACATGACCCTTGTTTTTAAAACAATGTATGATTTATCATTTTTATTCTTCAGAATAGCTTTTGATGCCTACAGTCTGAATTAGTGATATTATATCACAATTTATAATCTGGTTCAATATGCATTCTGATCAGAAAAACGGGTTTCTGAAAGCAGTATTGTTTTAGCTATTTTGATAGTAATAGCAATGAGTCATTAATGATAATGACAAGAAACACTACTTTATCTAATATCAACCCTTCAGATAACAGACATAGTGATTATGAACAGCTCCAATGTGCCAGGATTTTCAGAAAATGGGGAAAGTGGTAACAGGGTCTTAAGAGCATCTTGAAAATAGCCGGTCACAAGGCTTTATGAACGGCACAGTGAGGCTAAAAAGAGTTTAAATGTAATTAAGTCCACATTCTAGAATTAAATATAACAGCTGTTTGTTACTGTTACTTAAACTCAATTTGCATCTTAGAAAAAGTTAACAAAATGGTCTTTGCATGTGAAATGTGACAGGCATAGCCTACACACACACACACACACACACACACACACATACACACACATACACATCACACACATCACACGCTTTCCTCAGTTTTTATGGAGCACACGTTTTTAAAAATAATAGTCTCCGAAAGCTTGGGGCCAAAATGCCTTTGGCTTACAAAGCCACCGAATTCCACTTGACTGCAAATTGTCTTCCTATTTCAAGTGAAATCCATTGCAGTTAAACTAGTCCCCAAATACAGGGGGAAACTTGAATGTGCTCTTTGGACTGTTTTAAAGTGTTTGGTGGGGTGTGGAGGTTGAGAGAGTTTCCAGGAAGTCTATTTCTAGGGTTTAATAAATTTAAAAAGGGGCGGCGGGGGGGGGGGCAACAGATTCTTCTGATTAAATGGTGTGTTGGAAATAAAAAACTGTATCAGGTATGTCTCCCTTACCTGCTATGTTCATGTGAGAGGGCAAACAGGGAAAATAAAACCATCTCGCAGACTTCGCCAAAATGCGCACTTCAATCTCTAGAAGACCAGGCCCCCCCACTGTCCCGCCTTCATCCCCAGTGCATTTAAGCGCCTAGGAGGGAAGAGGGGTGCCAAAGAGGGGGACCCTAACAGCTGCCACCCACTTCCCAAGGAAGGAGCCCTTTCTCTCTAGTTATTTTCCGAGGTGCAGCGAGGTGCGCGGTGTTGAGTCTTCCTCCGTGTGTGCGTCTGGAGGCGGAGAGCAGGGGAAGGAGATGAGCCCGCTGTCACCCGGGGAAGATGAAGAGGAGAGAGAGGAAGCAAGGAAGGAAGGGGCGCCTGAGTACCCGCGGGGCCTCCCACTTTCGCGCCAGGCATGCAGTGAACGGCGCATCCCGCTCTGTCCACCCTCTCCAGGGAGCAGCGGGGACAGCCCGGCACAGGGCACACCCCGCGGGGCGCAGCGGAGGCTGGAGAGGCGATCTGCAGAGGTAGGATCAGGGCCACTCACCGCAGCTCGCCAAGCCCAGCAGCAGCAGCACCAACAGGGGCCACATCTCGCCAGCGAAGGGGGAAGGGGCAGAGGCTGCTGCCCGTCACCACCAAGGCAGCATCTGGCAACCACTGACGTCACAGAACCCTGCCTTGCTGTGCATCACAAACTGGAACCAACGCCCAGGCTGCTGGCAGCGCTGGCTGGGGCGCTCTGGCCATCGCATACCTGCTCCCAGCCCAGCCAAAGTTGCTGCTGACTGCAGTCCCTCAGATTCCTGGACTCCTTTATATTCCCTGAGGCTCCGCGGGGACCCTGAGCCCCCTCCAGGGAGGTGGCCAATGCTGGGCTTCAGGGGTAAAACTTTCCTTGTCAACCACCCACCATCCCTGCCCAGGGTTCTGCCAACCACCATCCAAGCCCAGAGAAGCTTGGAGTGTGTGCCCTGGATCACTGGGTCTTCACTGTCCCTGCCCCTTTCCAAGGTTCCTGTCCTCCTTGCTCCTGTCCTGGGCCCCAGGATCCTCCCTCCACCGCCCTCTCTTGTTTGAAAAAAAAAAAAATTAAAAATGAGGCTACAAGCCACAGTATAAACAAGGCCTTCTTTAAAAAAATAAATAAATAAATAAATTATCACAGTGACATTGGTTTGCAAAAACATACAGGTTTCAAGTGTACAACTCAATGAAATATCATCTACACTCTGCACCTTTCTGTCCCCATTCCCTCTTCCCTCTGACAACCTCCACCTACACTCCACTCCCCCTTTAGATCTGGCTATCACCACACAGTGGTCTGTGTTATGCATATAGAGCTTTTGACTAATCCCTTCACTTTCTTTCCATATCTCACTGACTGACACAGGCACAACATTCAAACTAAAGCAAAGACCTTGTAAAACTGCCAGTAACATTTATTCTAAGTGATGAACTCTCTTGTCACAAAGTCAGTCTCTCGTGGCTACTCTAATGCGCCACATAGCCTGTCTGCTCATTTGCTTGTTTTTCTCATACCTGCTGGAGAAGAAAGCAATTTCCCACCACAATACCCCACTTCTCCAAATCCTCTATCCATGGCATCTCCTCCACTGACTCCATCCTCATAGCAATAAAACCCAGGAAATTACATTTCCACTCTCAGTGCATTATATACTATGTCACTTTTCATGGTTTCCTTGTGTAAACCTCTTGCCCTCAACATTATCATTGCTTTAAAATAAGAGAGTTTTTTAAGTATTCCCTCCTCTAAGACTACCCATCCAACCCGGCAAACAGAAGGAGTTTAATAAATGTGTTGCTGTGACTGATGGCAAGCATTGCTCCAGTGAAATTTGATAGTCATATTGTTTTAATGATTTAAAAAAGAAAGGAAAAGAGACACCTCACTAACACAATGGTTGGTAATTATGGGGTCATCATGTAAATGGCCGCTTAGACACCCTGAGGCTACCAAAGGTCTGTTGGATTCTCCTCCAACTGCTCCTTATATGGATATGAAAGAATCACCCACCAGACTTAGAGCATTGGGGCACTATGTAGCACAGAGCAGCTGGTTGGCTCAATAAGGCTGTCAGCGGTCCCTGAGACCAAAGGACCCCCTAACGCTGAGCAGTGGCCAGGAAGGACTGTCCATAACCTTCACACTTAAAGTTGGAATGATGCTCTGTTTTATACTGGGAGCTGCTGAGGCTAAGTACCTGATGTACTTTTGTGCAGAAAATGGAGTAATCTTGCCCTGGCAGGAGTCGCTAAGGGGTTAGACCAGGGGTGGGCAAACTTTTTGATTCGAGGGCCACAATGGGTTCTTAAACTGGACCGGAGGGCCGGAACAAAAGCATGGATGGAGTGTTTGTGTGAACTAATATAAATTCAAAGTAAACATCATTACATAAAAGGGTACGGTCTTTTTTTTCAATAGTTTTATTGTGGCCCGCGGGCTGTAGTTTGCCCACGGCTGGGTTAGAGCATCAGTTTGAGCAGGAAAGGTCCTTGGTTTGATTCCCAGACAAAGACATGAACCTGGATTGCAGGTTTGATGCTTGGCCCCCATCAGGGCAAGTGCTGGATGTGTCTCTGTCACATGGATGATTCTCTCTCTTTCTCCCTCCCTCTCTCTTTATCCCTCTCTCCCTTCAACTGTTTCACCTTCCATTCTCTTTTTCTTATAGGACACAAGTCATTGGATGTAAGGTCCACCCTAAATCCAGTATAATATTATTTCCAGATCCTTAGCTAAATCCATATGCAAAGTTCCCATTTCCAAATAAGGTCACATTTTGAGAATCTGGGAGTAGATATTAATTTTGGGAGGATATCATTCAACCCTCTATAGTCAATAAATGTGTAATTTCTGGGCAAAAGCATCAAGACCAAGCATGCAATTTGCCACTCCCTCCCTCTCCCTGCTCCCCCGCATGGAAATCTGCATGTTCCAGACAGTTGGTACTACCTCAGCTTGAGTCCTGGGGTGAGGATGCGGCAAAGCAGGATCCAAACTGACCTACAAAAGAAACAAGTACAGAAATTCATGTGTTACCTCCCTGACAGACATCATTGACAGTATTCAATAACCACAGTCCAGCCCTTCAGAGCTTATCCCAGCAGCTAAGGCAGCTCCCCACTGCCTTACATATGAAAACACCCGTGAATACTGCACTAACCAAAACCAGTTTGCAGGCTCCCCATTCCCTTTAGTCCCAATTCCATTGACAATATTTCACTGCATTATATCCCCTCTTTGAGGGCTAAGTGTAGAAAGAAATTGATGTTAAACACAGTCTTAGAGGGGCAAGTTTTCTAGGAAAAAAATAACTGCCAGAGTACATGGGTGTTCTTTGAAATTAACTACAGAGTAGCTGCGTTTCTGGCTTACAATCTCATCTCTGGTTCCCGAAGAGTTCCCTGCCTGCAGCAGCCAGGAATGTCTGCTGAGAAACCTTCCTTCTCTGTTCTGAACCCGAGCTCTCTAGGTGTGTTCCCCCTGCCCTGCCATAGCCACCTGTGCCGAAGTGCTGGAGACACCGCGCCCCATGAAGCTTGCTTATTAGTGCTACAATGAGTCCTCTGGGCACATCTGTAGATCTACTTGTCTCCAGGACTGGTCTAATTGCAATGGGTGTGGGCCAGCGCACTCCCCTTATCAGATGGTCTTCAACAGTGAAGTGAATAACGAGGATCAAACTGCCAGGCCAGATAGACAAGCTTCTTTGGAATCATGAAAAAGGGTTCCTGAGTCCATGTCCCTTTAACTTCACTTGTCTGTCTGTCTTGAATGGAAGCCTGGATTGAGGGCCCACACATGCCAGCTGCTGCAGCCCCTACCACTTAATTCCCCAAACTGAGTCCCTGAACCACAACAGTGGGAGGGAAGGAAAAAGGTAGAGAGACACTGCACTTACAGGGCTGGTTCTCAAAGTGTGGTACCTGGACATGCAGCACCTGCAGCACGTGGGAACTTACTAGAAATGCACATTCCTGGCCCTACCTCACACCTCTTAAACCAGACACTCTGGAGTGGCGCCTGGCCATCTGTGAGTGGGGAGTCTTCCAGTGACTCTGGTGCACACTGTACTTTGAGAGCCACCTGTGTAAGGCCAGGCGGCCTGCGAGGAAGTGATCCATCTTGGTAAAAATATCATCAGCAACTCTGTTGCTTTGATCTGGTGGGAAAGGCCCACCTGAGTACACAGAGGGTCCCTGAGAAGCCTGGATGTCTCCTGGAACACTGGGCAGTTTGTATAGACCATGGTCATCTCAGCTCCTTGGGTGAAGGAGGAGGGGTGTGCAGTGAGGTCAGTGTCCTGTGGCTCCATGGAGAGGCTCTCACATGGAGCAGGGATTCTGTACCATCTCACGTGAAGGGGCACCTACCCTACCTCTGTCCTGATAGAAACCAATGTGTCCTTCTGAGTGGCTTGAGGATCTCTTTCGTTTGATATGTAGTGGTTTTAGAAGTGGTTTAAGGATCTGGTTGCCCTGTAGTTTACAAACTACGTTTGTGTATGTCCATCAAGGTGCTTAGTATCTGCGATCTCTGCTAATCTCTTGTGAGTTTCCACTTACAAGAAGCCATTTTGATAAAATGTACAAATCTTTAATATTTTTAAATAATTGTGTCTCTTTGTCTAGGGAATGAAGTAAAGAAAGTTGAATATTTCCTGCAGGAAGGAGAGATCAATACACATTTTACCAGATGATGAATTCAGAGGCACCTCTGTTGGCAGTACGTGAAGTAGGGGAGAATCGACTTATCCTCTATCATAATTCAAAAGAAAATAATTCATTCCTTTAAGACAGCCATATGGACTAGTCTGCCTGGAGCTGGTTCTGGTAAATTCAGGGAAAGGCCTCATTTCAATCTGCTCTGTCCTGGAACAAGGCATCCTTGTCCATGGAAAGAGCATGAGTGCTTTTTCAAAGATGTAAGAACAGCTCCTGATACAGAAACCAGTCAGATGGGCTGATGGATATATTCCTCTTCTGCAGCAGTTCAGGTGATTCTCTTAATTTTTTCTAGCCGTACTGGATTGCCTGAGAAAGTCTACTGCGTTCCTTGCACAGAACAGGATCTTATAAACCAGGATTTTTTTCAGGGTGGGGTGATCAGGCTTGCAGGGGAGGGCAGTTAGGGGCAACCAGGCCAATGGGGGAGGGCAGTTGGGAGCAGTTAGGCCTCGATCAGGCTGGCAGGGGAGTGGTTAGGGGGTGGTCAGTCTGGCAGGCAGAAGCGGTTAGGGGCAATCAGGCAGACAGGCAGGCGAGAGATTGGGAGCCAGCAGTACCGTATTGTGAGAGAGATGTCAGATGCCACTTTAGGCCCACAGGGATCAGGCCTAAACCGGCAGTCGGCCATCCCTTTAGGAGTCCCAGATTGGAAAGTGTGCAGGGTGGGCTGAGGGACACCACCCCCAGTGCACAAATTTCATGCACCGGGGCTTTATGCACGAAATTTAATAATGATGGGTGGAAAAGTGAGATCTGAAATGCTACAAAAACTATAGCCACAGACTCAAAGAATAGCACAAGGAAACTAGTTATATGGTAAGAAATAAGATGGAAAAAGGGAAGATGGGAAATAAAGTGCCTCCCCAAATCCATAGGTCATTTATGCCTGGAGCTCCTGGCGATTCTTCCCTAAG